CCACGCTGCGCAGCCCCGGCCCCCCACGGCCCGGAGCCTCCCGCTCTGCCCCGCGGCCTCTCAGCAGCACACACTGCATTTGAGTCCGTGGCCATCGCAGAGAGCCACTTCACACAGGGCCCTCTAGTCTCCCTCCATGCAGCCCCTCCTGGAGCCGTCCTCGCCGCTCAGACTGTCCGGGGCAGGCCCCTTCCTCCCAGGGACTCATTTTATCCGAGTCGCCCTGCGGCCCCTCTCTTGGGGGTACGTTTGCTCAGAAGCAAACTGGGGGAGCCTTGCCTCGTGGGGACCGGCAGGCGGGCACAGCCCAGAGCCGCCTGGCAGGGCTGCTCCCCGGTTGGCTGGCGAGTTGCAGGGACAAGTTCAGTGGCCTCGTATGGGACACTTATCCTCCTTGTGCCTCAGTTCCCTCGACTACAAAATTGGGTTACAGCAGCCCCTACCATGGGTGGCTAGGGACGGAAACTGGCGAGCAGGGCCTGCCTCCCGTAAGGACCACGTAAGCGGCGCGTCCTTTTCTGCGTGTAAAATCTTGCATGGTTTTTAAAATCAGGGGGGAAAGCCCACCTTACTTACATGGGGCCTGTTTGAGTTTCCTACGAACCCAGTGGCTTAAAACACCAGACGTTCTTGCAGTTCTGAAGTCGGGGGTCTGCAACAGATCTCACTGAGCTGACGCCGGGGTGTTGGGGGGTGCTGCTCCCTGCGGGGGCCCCCCTGGGTCCTCCTGCGACGTGGTCAGCCCCACCGCAGGCCCGAGGGGCCGTGGGACCTCGCGAGACACGTGACGTCTGACCTGCCCACGGGACGCCGCATCCCCAGTGCAGGGCACCGGGCCACCTGGACAGGTGTGCCTTCTGCCGCAGGGGGGCGCCAAGGGCGGGCTGAGGCCCGGATGGTGTGGGGCGGGCGGGAGCTGTCTGCACTACCTTTGTAACCTTTCTGTGAATTTAAAACTTAAATTTAAATTCTGCGAATTTAAACCTTTCTGCAAATTTAAAAGCACAAAGTTTATTTTAGAAAGCCCCCTCACCTTGTCTGATTGCCCCATCTTCAGCCCGGGCGTCTAGGTTTCAGGCAGGCACCGAGAGGCCCTGGGCAGCCGGCGCTGGACCCCTGGGTCCCTGGGCTCCCTTGGGCAGAGGGCCGTAACTCATGCTGGAACCACAGACAGCCTGACGGCTCCATCTGCCGGGTTATCCTGGGAGCCCCCGAGGCCCTACATGTGTCTACTTGGGCCTGACCCTCCCCACGCGGGAGCCAAATGTCAGACGCCCAGGAAGGCAGACGGACGGCACCATCTCTCCTGGACATGCCACCCGCCCTCTGTCTGGGCGTCTTGGGCCGGGACGCCTGCGTTTTAGAGCCGTGATCGCTGTGGCTCACCCAGAGCTAAGAGGCGGGGGGTGGCTAATCCCAATGCTTGTCTGAGTTCACGAGGAGCGGGAATTTCATTTATAGGCTACGGCCACTCACGCTAAAGGAACCTCATGCTGTCACCCACCCGCACCCCAGAGTGACCCCCACTGGTTCCCATTCCACAGTGACTCAAGCCCTCGCAGGCCAGGGGCCACCCCCTGCCGTGGACTCTCCCGGGGTCTTCCTGGGGTCGGTGCGGAGGCCCCACCCCCCGAGTCCCCACAGAGACGTCTGCGTTCCATCCTCACGCCACGTCACACTCGCGCCTCCCTGTGTCCCCCGGCCCTTCCCTCCCAGCCCCGCAGGGTAGAAAGGTGCAGGCAGGTGTCCCTTTGACGTCCCCCTCTGTTGGGTCTTCCTGGCAGGGGTGGGTAAGGAACCAGAAAGTCCCCGGAAGGCCCATCCTAAACTCTAACGGCTCATGCACTCAGCACCCCCTGAGCCTACCTGACTCCTACTTCCCCACCGATTCGTGGGCTTCTAAGAAAAGCCAGCCTCCCCTTGGCTTGGCATATTTGAGCTGCAACATACAGTTTCCACCCCAGGCTCTTGGAGTAGTCATGTCATTGTCACAGCAGTGACGTGAAGAACAGGCCATCATTGTGCCCCCTTCACAGAGGCCCAGAGGCCAAGCAACTTGCCCTATGTGACCACCACGGCCACCTGGCTGCACTGCCCGTTAGGCCATCCAGCCCCACCAGGGATCCGTGGCCAGGGCAGGGCGGTGGCCTCGTTCCTCACCAGTGCTTGATGTTTTCCTAACAGTCCCTTCAATCCCACATTCAGCAATAGCTGATTGCTGTGTCAGTGCCCCACCATTGATAATCAGTGAATTGAACAATTTCTCCCTCAGATTTATTTGCCCTACTTAGTTCTTCTGCCATGAGCTGTGCTGCTCCTAAGAATAGATCGTCTTTCCATCCTGGGCATTTGACAAGCGCCAGTGGCGCCACTGCGAGCGTGAATCCGGTCGGTGCAAAGCGCCGATCTCGGCGTGGCCAGGGCGAGGGGCCTGCGTTGTCATAAATTAAGGAGAGAAGTTCTTGGTTTCTCATTGCAAACCATGACGTCAGTGTTTCATTTGTCTTTGCAGGTCACAGGTGGAAGTTTCTCGTTTTATAGAGTAATATAACTTTTCCACGCTGCTTTCTAGCTTAGGTGTTATGCCTAGAAACGGCGTTTTTCACCCCCAGAGTGCAAAAATATTCACCCGTATTCCCTCAAATTCCTTTACCATTTCATTTGTGTTACACTTATCTCTTTAAACCATCTGGAATTCATTTCATTGCGAGGGAAGAATCCAAGTTTAATTTAAAAACAAAAAAACAACTGTGTACACCTATGCCATGACATTTATGGCACGATCCATCTTTCCCGCAGAGATTCGAGTCTCCCTCTTCATATAATAAATACTTGAGTGTCCTGCGTTGTTCCTGAACCATCCGTTCCGTGCCGTGATTCTGTTTCTGTCGGCACAAGCCCTTCTCTTATTACCGTTCTAAAGTGTCTGGACACTTGGGACTCGGGGCCTCCACACACTGCTGTCGTCCAGAGGCTTGCTCGCTCTGGCACAATCCAAGTGACCTCGACAGCATCTCGTCCCCCAGAACGGGCCTTTGGGATCCTAGCTGCAATTCTGTCCACAGGCATCAGCCTGCCCTCCCGGGAGAGCCGGCGTGTTAGACATGAGAGTCCCCCGAGGCATGGGGGCCGCCTCTGCTGCGGCCACACTCACCCTGTCCTCGCGGGCCACTGTGTGTGGTGCAGCACATGTGGTCATTCAGCGCTCTTACAAAGGAAATGCGTATTTCAAGTGGGGCCCATTTTATCCACTTGAAGACAACATTGAGTAGAAAACGCATCATTAACTTGAGGTCACCTTTCCAGGAAATCTGCAATATTTAATACGTGTGATGGCCATGAAAACATTCCAGAAAAATGAATGAGTATACACGAATATAAAACAAGTATGTGTATACATGTGTGCATAAGTATGCATACATATCTCAGAGTTGAGGAGTGCACTTGGCTTTGCTGATACACAGAACACCTAAAAAAAAAGTCGAGGGTGCTTGGATTTTCATTTTGTCACCAGCCACCTCCTGAACGCATATCTGTCCTAATCATTTTTTAGTTGTCCCTGGAAAGATAATAAATGAGATCATCTTCAAATAATGAAAAAAAAAGTCTCCTCGTTGGTGGTAGCTTGCGTCTTTCTTGTCTTACGAATGGTGACTTTGTCGTCAGCCTCACTCCTGGGCCACCTGGGCCCGTCTCTTCTTGGTGGTGCCCTTTCCATCAGCAGGCGTGAGCGCAGTGGCGGGTGGCTTCCTGGATGCCCGGCGCTGGTCTCCACCATCACCAGCAAATTGGCCATCTGTGCAGCCTCGGGGACCCGAGGGCCAGCGGTGACTTTTCCCCTCGGTGCTTCTTGTCCCGAGTGTTTGAAGGGTCCCTTCTTCTCTCTGGAAGTCCAAGCATTTTATCGGCGTGTGTCATTGAGCAGGTGCTGGGAAGCCCAGGTAGACTCACTTTGTTTCCCCCTAGTGTCTCCGAATATCGTTTTTGTCCCGTCGGGTCCGGCTCCTCCTGGAGACACCCATGCGGACTCTGGACCAGGGCTCCTTTCCCCATATCCAGCGTCTTTGTCTTTTCTTCTTCTCTGTCTAAAACCCGCTGCTACCCTCCCCCTCCCCCACGTGTGCTGGAGCCCCGTGCGCCCCACAGCACGGAGGGAACTTCCAGACGGGCGCGGCTGCCCTCTCCGGGATTTTTCAGTTCTGCAATGGCCTCTCGGACCTTAAAACCACACTCCCTCGCCACATGGAGCTCCCTTCTCCTCTCCTCCTGCCTCTGACCAGCTCTTTGCAGCTCTGTTGTCTCATTTCTTCTTTACTCCCTACTTTCATTAAAGCAAGTTTTTCCTGATTTGGGGAACTATACAGTCATTTGCTGTTTGGAACTCGCTTCCAGTTTCTGCAGTGACCCTTTCGCAAAAGCGTGTTTTTCTGTCTTCTTACCCATGTCCTGTTTCATGCCGAGGTGGCTTTGCGTGGCTTTGCGTGGCTTTGCGTGGCTTTGCATGGCTTCGTTTGCGTTTCTGCTCATGGACAATCCCACGTACAGCTTAACCGGAGCCTGGACACCCGTCACCACTGAGCCGTCCCGGAGTCGAGGATCCTGAACAGACGTCGGATCTCCTCTCTGGACAGGGAGGTGACGCCGGGGAGCTCTCTTGCTAAGCCTGCGCGCTGTCTGTCCTTTGTTCCCTTCCGTGTGCCACGGTGCCTCTGCCTGAGCATCGCAGAGAGCGATGCCTTTGCTGACGCCGCTGTCTAGCAGGGCCACACGGGTGTCACTGCGCCGCCACTCATGCGTCTCGGATCCACACAGGGACGCTGCTCCCAGCTCCAGGAGTGGCCGTCAGGGTCCCTCTCAGCTGTGACGCACCAGCCAGGGCCGCTGGCCCAGGACAGCTTATCTGGGCACCGGGTACTGTTAGGGGGTCACTGTTGGGAAGGTTTACCTATTGTCACCGAGGGTGTCACAGACGACAGCTGGGCGGCCTCACCACTGTTCGCTCAGACACAGTCGGCGGTGGGTTTGCCATCAGCTGTCGGCAGCGTCCTCCGGGCCTCCGGCTGGGGCCTGTGGAAGGGCCGTGGGCCGTGCAGGGGCAGAGCCTCGTCCTGGACACGCTTTCCCTGCTGCGCTCCTGTCGCCCGAGCGGCACGGTGCAGCCTTCCGGGCGCCGAGCGGCCTGTCCTCTTGGTGACGCTGTCCTCGCTGTTTGCACCAGGTCGGGCCGGAGCCGCCCCAGCGCCTTCCTTCTCACGCGACACGCGGGCTCTGGCGTCCCCTGCGCCGGCCACCCGGCTCCAAGCTGGGGAAGGAGCGTCGTGGAGTCCAGGGTCCTCGCTCCTGCCGAGGTCCTGCCTGGCGTCCTTGCACTCCGGCCCCTCCACGTGGCACGTGGCACACAGTTCTTCCTTCTTTATAAATCCAACAGGTCACTTCTCCGAATCGCGGGGTCGGGACGGAACTCAGACCTGGATCTTCGAACTAGCACCCTCTCAGAACTCACGGAGGTGCTTTAAATTTTCTGACATTTTATTTCTTCATTTCTCCCTTTGGTTTAGTGCTGGTCCTCCCCCACCCCAAAACCATGTGAGCATTTTGCTGTGTTTCCTCCTCGGGCCTTCACAGCTCAAGGGCATCATGGCTCAGCAGGAGGAGACATTGCTTGTACCTGGGCGACCTGCGGGAAGGCAAGCAGAGGACGGGAGCTCACGGGTGGGGGGTGCTGGGCGATCGCAGAGACGGGGACAGCTGCAGGGGGCACGAGAGGCGCCCCCGGGAGGGGACAACCCCGCGCAGGCCCGGCCACTGTGGCCCTCGGCCCCGCCGGGGTAACACGAATCTCGCGTCCCTGCCTGGCCACCCCCCGCACGGCGGTGGGGAGAAGGTTCACCCTGGACCTGCGGGGGGGCTGCGCACTAGCGAGTGTGCTCGTCAGTGTCTGTCGTCCTCCCGTTTGAGATGCCCCGAGCCAGTCCCTACGCTGGGACGGTTAACATGCTCGTCACCGCCGCCGTCGTCATTCCCAGGTCCTGCACATTGAGGAGAGTCAGGCAGTGCAGAGCACCTGCCTGCACTGATCGTCTAACACGTTAGAGTCTCCCCTGAGACACCTGCATAGCCACCTTCCGCATGCTGTGCACTTTCCACGTCATGGGCGTGGCTCCGAGACCGGGTTAGGGGCCCGCACAGGTGGGCAAAGGCGGGAGGGCTGGGGCCGGGGTTTCAATCTGACCTCGTGCCTTTCTCCCCCAACCCCATGTGTTGGGTGCAGCCGGGGAGGGAGGCCGGAACGCAACGGAAAGGGCTCCTCAGGAGACAGCAGGGGGTGGCAGCCAAGGCAGAGATGGAGGGACACAGAACCTTGGAGAAAGCCCACTCTTGGGGGCCAGGGTCAAGGTCGGCTCTGAGCTGGGGCCAGGCAGACCCCAGGACTCCAGGCTCTGGGACAGCAGGTCCGGCGGCCACCGTGTGGGTCGGGTGGCAGGTGCAGGGGTGGAGGGGACACCGCTGATTGGTGAGGACTGTTGGGAGTGTCTGGCCTCTGCTTCGTTGGAAGACGCAGTGCCTTTATGCACGCTTTCAGATGAAACATCTGTCCCCAACATTGCGTGGCAATGGATATTTTACACTAGTTTATATGAGGCAATGAAATTTCTATTTTTAAACATAAAAAGTAGATAA